AAAGTAGTATTTAATTTACTGCATTACAAATATATTATCATACAAAAAATTTGTAAATTACATTCAATATTATTCAAATTATGTAAAACTATATAAATAGTTTGGGTTTTAATTGATTGTGCTAGGGATATGCAACAATTGTAATATAAGAAACTGAAATGTGTACACATATGTGCTTACGCATTTTTTGGGTTTTAATTGATTGTGCCAGGGATGTGCAACAATTGTAATAATTCTTAGAAACTTAAAATGTGTCTACGTATTTTTTAACTAAAGTAAAATACTCATTTTACCTCAGCTATTTATTCTAGTCTTTTTTCAACAAGTGTGCTATTACAATAGAATTTGAAACTGCTACTTTCTATTCAAATTATGGTGTCATTGCATTGAAAATTAATATATTAATAATTATCTGAATAAAATATAAAATTTGCAAGTTTATGTAAGATATTTTTAATCTACTTTCTACAATATACTATAGTAATAATAAAGGAATATTTATAAGTATGAGCTATTTTATAAATATAGTTATTAAACTACTATGTAAACTCAACTCATCAAATAATAACTTTTCAAATAGTAATTTAGTAACAAAATCTTATTGAATTGAGAATTTGTTAATAAGTTGTTATTTAGTTGGAAAATACCCTTCTCATTTATTTTTTTAACTAAGAGCAGGAACAGGTCTTCAATATAAATTTTACCATACAAACCTATAACTCAAAGTAGTATCAATTATCATTTTTAGTGAATGTATTAATGTTTAGTCGAGTTTATTTAAGTTTTTTTCACTTCAATACTTAAAAGTTCCTGAAGAAGGGTATTTGCCATATCCACAAAACATAGAAATAATAACAAATTTAATTTAATAAATATATCTAATTATTTTTTAAAGTTTCTGAAGAAGAATATTTGCCATATTCCCAAAACGTAAAAATAATTATAAACTAAATTAAGTAAATTTATCTATTTTTTGTTTAAGAAAAGGTTTTAAGATCAGAAAAAAAATATTAATAATATAAGCTATCCATAAAAACAAACTATATATTGTATGTTTTATCATAATATGTTTATTTTGTAGAAGTTTCAATTTAATGAATATCTGTTCGTCTACATTGCAACTCGGCATGAATGTTTTTTTCATAATATTTTATATAATATTAGGTTGGCAACTAAGTAAGTGCGGACTTTTTTTAGAAAATCAAAGACATTTGTTTATGAAATTAGAAAACTTTGTTCTGTAATGTATTGTTTATTTTGATCAATGACTTTTTGTCAACTTTCAAGCAACATGATTATCCCACTTTCATAAAACTTCTGGGTATTATTGAAGAAAAACTGAATCGGGTACAATTTGACAACATCATAATCATTGAATTGATTTTCTATTCAATGAGTTTTATAAAAATCGAAAGGTGGACATAAGGCAAAATATTTCAACCAAGCTCCAATAATTTTTGCTAAGTAGCAAAAAAATATGTGATTTTGGATGTTATTATACCAAGGAGACTGAAAAGAATACACCTGCTAGAAATCTGATACATAGAATTAAATTCATATCACTTTTTCCTGGCTTTTTCTCGTTTGTAAAAAACCCTAAATCGATCGTTTGGTATTTGAAGTACAATTAACAATGACCACTCTACTACTGTTATTTATTTATCATATGCCATTTAATTCTTTAGAGTTATTAGATGTCCACTAAGGACAATTGTAAATTATATGGTGAAATAAACAAAAACCTATTATTATCCTAATTATGACATATTATATTGCATTGATAATATTAATAATAACGACAAAAAATCCTTCTCAAAATAGAATTAATTCCTTCCCCAACGTTCCAAATCCTATGAGCAAAGTATGCGGCTCGCACCTGTAAAAACAATTAAGCATTTGTTTTAATCAAATCATACTAATTAAAATTTTTGCTTTGCCAAGACAATAACGCGGCAAAGTTCCTTTATAGTTTCTTTTAATGAATGAAGTCAAATTGTATATTGTATTGACAGCAAATAAGTCGTCGTCGATGCGATGATAGTTCAACTGTACATCCTAAGGATTCAATTGACCTTAGCCTTAATTCTCGAGCAGAATTTCTCATTCCAGCGGCGATTGAATGATGGTATTTCAAGGATTCATTTTTCACGAAGCTCACTTATAATGTACATATTTACCGTACGATAATAATATTCAACGCGCTTTTACATACAATAGAAAACAAAGGTTCACGTTCTAAATTTTCAACTGGAAATCACAAAAATTAGTTAATTTAATATGGTAATTTTGATATTTTCTAATCACTAATTTCATATTGTTTTTTTCTTACAGTTCTCTGCGCATTCAGCAGGCTATCGCTGGTAAGTAAAATAATTATAATTAAATAAATAATTATTAATAAAATCATTAGAATAATTAGATGTTAATATTCCAAGGAGACTGAAAAGAACACATCTTTTTAACACTTTAATTCACAACTAGTGGTGTATGGCATCGTGCCTTAAGGCAAATTACAGGAATTTCCCGTACCTTAATGAAATATTCGAGGAATATTAAATGTTTTCAAATAAATTACTATAAATAATTCAACTTTTATTATTTTTATTTTATAAAAAGTAAATGAACAAAACTTAATCAATTTGATTTAAAATGAAGAACATTGTCTAATATTTCTAAGTATTACATAAACTGAATTGCAAAGTTAAAATTATTCATTTGAAGTATATAAGTGATGTTTAGAACTTTAGCTAGAATTAGAATTAACATCCGAATTATTTTTCGATATTCGAACAATTTTTTTTTGAAAATTAAAAGAATTGAAATAAATAAAAATCTTTCCCCAAAAGCAATCGTTTCGTCAACACAAGCAAAAAGTGTTTTAAAACAATCAAATTGGATGCTTAGATCTCTCAACAACTGCTATTTTTTGCACATTTAGCACTGGACCTGCCTTTGTCAAAATCTAATCACCACTTCTTTCCCCTCTCTTTCTGCTAGGATTATATTACACTATTTCTAGTAGAGATGATAAAATTTGAGATCAATAATCTTAAGTAAAAATCTGATACAATTACTACTTGATATCAAGCTCGATGAGGTGACTTGGCTTATCCACGTTCTCACCATGGCCAATCTCAATAAATATTATTAAGAAATTTAAAAACATTAATAAATAATGGTTATTAGCTAACGAATGAAAGTTACAGAACTTATATTCTCCAAAAAAAGTCTGACCGAACTTTTTTTTTGATAAGAGTAGAACATGAGTATACCAAAAATAACTAAAAGTGAATTAAAAGCTCATTTCCGCAAAACTTTGCCTTCTAAACATGATCACATATTCTTTTCTCAGTCTCTTAACTATTAACCTATGTATATCCAGTTCCTTAATAATAATCTTAAAATTCCTTGACCTTTCCGAAGCGTATCGTTTAAAAACCTTCATTAATTGTATCCTTATATCACTAATAACGATAATAATGATAAATAGTATAACAACCAGTTCTCGGT